CAAAGTCAGAGTTAGTCCTGTTGACGAGAAGAATTTCATCCATTTTGTTGACCAGGGAGCAGAGATTAGCCAGGTGAATAGATGGGAGTGAGGTCCGTGTTCCCCTCTGTCGTAACCGCACCAAAGCGCCAGAGCGTTTTCCACGCCGACAGGGTTTTTCCAGGTCCAGAATATTGCTGTTGCACCTCCGATCAGAATGTCCATACAGCATTCTTCGTTCACAAAAATCGGAGGAAGGTAGTTTGGTGTGAGTTGGCCGATATTTAACAGTTCTTCTCTGGTAAAAGTAATCCAGGATGAGTTGCACAAGACCAAGAAAACAAAGAAAAACAACAAACACAAGAGAGCGCGAGTAACCACGGTCGCCATCGCTGTCGGCACCGGAAGTCTTTTCAGATGTATATATATATTTCTCAGATTTCCTCACCTGGGATTCCCAGCAGCAGCAGGTAGACTGAGGCGGCATGCAGACTGTTCACCCTCTGCTGTACAGTAGCTGTTTTGGCTTTTCCTGCCAAGACAAACAAGGACAGCACAGCCACCAGAGACTTGACCGACACCCCATTCTCCCCTAGAATTGCCCAGATACTCTGCAAAGCAACATAGCACACACTCACTGTTAACTACTTAATACTGCTGACAGACAGAAAAAAAGACATTGATACTGTTTTTCATCTTCAAAGTCTACCAACCTTTGAGACAAAAGTGTCAGTGCTCTATAATAATCTTATTAATTTAATTAATTTATGTGCAACTATTTAAAAGCATGCACTTAGGGCTGCTTCAGTTTCTACAAAACCTACAGAAACCCAGCTGTAAATGGAAGGGTCAGGCAAGTACTTATGCACATATAGTAAAAACAGTGGCAGTCTTGCACCCAGGCAGATGAAATATATTGCACAGTTAACAGGAGGCAAGAGTCATTGGCCCATGGCCCTAACCAGGTCATGTGGATCATCTTGTAGAAATGAAAACTGCTTTGCTTCTGCTAAATCATCGCTTGTAAAAGGAAAAAAAAGGCGTGCATTTGCTATATTATAAATATGGCAATGTTTGTACACCAAGCGCTTCCAAAGCATGAGTGAACATGCACCCAGTACAGACATCAGCACAAACTTTGCTCAAGGTGAACACAAGATGCTGCGCTTATCACACTAGTCTTTCAGTTTGTGCCACTGCATGTGCAAGAAGTACCGCCATGCCTCTAAACAATTGCTTCATCTAAATCATCAACATGTCTCCTGGACC